TTCATATGCAAATGTCTGCCTCAGTCTTTGAAAAACTGATATTTTTGCACTTGATTGTAGTATTGCCTATGAAATGATTATTTACAAATTAGCAATTCCATAAATTGTGATAATTCCGTATTTAATTTTGGATTCTCATAAAAGTTCGTCTATTGATACTAGATTGTTATCATGTTAGATTTCAAGAATGTCCTTCAAAACTGTTACCTTTTAGAAATTATCGCACAAAATGTTTAAATGGCTACTTAGAGATATTTCAATGGAAGTGATTGTTATTAAATTGCTTCAAGTGAATTCATGTTAATGTTTTCAATGATACTTCGCATACATGATATTATTGCTTTCTGATGTTTAAAGAGTTTCAAAGATAATTTGAGTATAAGTGGACCTACAGTGATCATTAGGACCTATCCGGTTATGTCGGTAGGGACAATTTGGACTCATCCGAGACGCCGGTGAGGTATGATCGGACCTGCAGGGATTGTTAAGAGCTATCCGGTTACACCGGTAGGGACTATTTGGACTCATCTGGGACACCGGTGAGGTATGTTTGGACCTGCGATTGTTTGGACCCATCAGGACGCTGGTGGGGTATATAGGTGACCTACTTGGGACGCCAGTAGGGTATTTGGTAAAATTCTGTGAGTTGTGCATTTTTGTTAAAATGTTTATATGCATTTCCATCATTTGGATTATGTTTAATTGTGGATTTGTGAAAGTGCAATTGTTATCTATAAATGCTTTTGCTCGAAATTCTTCCTCAAGTTGTTTTTTTAACATATATTCTTCAGAAAATGTGTATATCTTCCAACCATGATTATTTTTAGGACCATGATGATCAGTTACTGAGTAGCCAAACTCACCAACTATGGTAAATGTTTTTCAGGGTAATTGCAGTCTCATAGTTAAATGCACATCATGACCAGCTTGTGAAGAAGATGCAGTCGTGTCATAACTAAATTCTCCTTTGTAACTTTTGTTTAACTTCACCATTGCAAATTTTTATTCTATCAACAGATGTATACCTAGCCTTCATGTTAATACCAGTTGTGAGCAAACTTTGTACAAATTTGCTCGCCTTACGAACCTTTGTGTTGATAATATACAGCGCATACAGAGAGAGTTCCGCAAACTTGGTTGCATACTGCTCTACTGACATCCTCCCTTGCTGCAGTTTGTTGAATATTACTTCCTTCCTTTCTAGGACGAAGTTGGGGAAGTACTTCTTGTCGAATTCCACAAGGAAATTCTCCCATATAGTTGTAGTCCCTGACTCCACCCAAGATTGCTTCGCTAAATTCTACCAATGCTCGGCATCTCCTACCAACATGAAGCCCCCCAATCATACTTTTTACTCATCCGAACACTGTAAGACCTCAAAGATCTTCTCTAGTTGCCTCCTCCATCTATCATCCTTTTATGCTCCTCCTTGCCCTGAGAATCCTGGTGGTATAAATCTCTTGAATCTTTCAATTATTCCACCATCTACATGATCTGGGGCAGGGGCAGCCGAGGTTGGCATACAATCCTTCATAACTTGAGTCATGGCCCTGAGCATCTTAAAGAATTCCCCGAAAACGTCAGTGTTCCCATCATTCTTGTTCAAATTGCTACCACGAGTCCTTGACATCTTGACTTGAAATAGGAACATCCAAACACTAGTTACTAGTCTATCTTATACAACATAAGCGTACATCTAAGATTATAGGCCAAGAATCCTATCCTGACGCTCTGATACCATAAATGTCACACCCAAAGTTTTATAACACTAAAATTCCTGGGATGTGATAGTCTATTATTAAAGAGCAAAACAAATTCAAAATTTTTACAATTTATTGCTCCAAAACAAATTTTCTATTTTAGAGCTTTTTGTACAAAGTCTATTTCACAACTTATAATAACATGAATGTATATATATATATATATATATATATATATACTAACTTAGTATAG